TGGAGTGTAAAGCAGATAAAACTGACCATTAAAGTTGAGAAAACGTCACTTCAACCAGATTAAACATGTGCAAAAAACATCTGATAACTGGTTAATTTTTTTTTTTTTTTTTTAAAAACCAACAAAACACAGTTATTTGATACAAACATGTTTTATAGATATCCTCAGGATTTCATTGTGTGATTCCTTTCTTTTAACGCTGCTTAAAGCAGCAATATTTTTTTTACAATATTTTCTTTATTACAAAACAAGAAGATACGTTCACAACAGTTTTCATGTTTCACTTTTATTTTATTTGTTTTTTGGAGTTCTTAGGTCAGAAAAAAGCCAGGCAGTTGTTTTATGACAGTACTCATCAAATATTTGCTAATAAATTTTACTCATTAAAGATGGTGCTTCTGTTATGATAGACCTTTTACAGTACAAGAGGTTTCCTTTTATTCTATAATTTACATGTTTAGACTCACAATTTTAGAGTCACTGTGAGTTTTTAAAGCCTGTATTTTTTTAAATACTGTGTTCACCTCCGCTCCTCACGTCTACAGTACATGTTTCACATTTCAACACATCGCCGCACAAACTCCACATAAGCTATGAACGTACCAAAACAATTCACACAAAAATTAATTTTAACACAATAACTAGATGAGTAGAAAAACCTACAGAAGTTTCTAAGCTGTGACGTCATCATATTGGTCTAAAACAGCCCCAATGTCGAGGAGAGGCCATTTCCATCAGATAGTCTTCGATTCTGGTCTGTATGTCCAAGTACAGGATGTCAAGCTGATCCCTGAAAGGAGGATGCCACAACCACAACATGGCAACCCCTGCTACAGCGAGGAGAAGGAGGAGAAACACACAACCCCTCCACCAGGAGCCACACGGCGTCTGAACGGAGAGGAAACAATCAGAGCATGGGCCAGAAAACAGAGCGTCAAGCTTTACTTCTGCTCTGATGAGCTCTAAAGCAACGATGGAATTAAATGGTAAAGCGGGGTCACAACAAAATGGGATAATGAGACACACACACATACACACACACACACACACACATGCTCACCGTTCTCCTGCGGCGCTGGCTGAGCTGCCGGAGTTCGTCTCTGCACTGCGACAGTCTGGCCTGGCTGGACTGACACTCATGCTCCATGGCATGCAGCTCGGTCTGCAGCTCCTCACACTGCACACACACACACACACACACACCATATGGAACAGAACATACAGACTAAATTGAGCAGAAATACATTTTCGATCCAGGTGAACGTTCAAGTATCTCAAGTCAAACTCATTAAATGAGCTTTTATTCCATCTGTGAAGTGAAAACCTGCACTTTGAGCAACATTTCTGAGCTAATTAAACACAGCGGGGCAACACAATAAGCATCTGTGTCTCTAACATGTAAACGACCAAAGAAGTGAGGTATTCTTTGTTTGCTTTTCTAAAATATGACCAACTAAACTGTATTTACAAGACGTTACTTTTGTCTGTAAATGGAGCCAAAAGCTGGAAAGAATTGGGATTTTCTGAACCACAGCATGAATGTGTCTCAGTTGACCTCTTTGTCTTTGAGCTGCAGTTTCTCCTGAGCGTGTCGAAGCTCCTCCTCCAGGTGCGAGTCCCTCCTGGAGGTCAGTCGTGGTTTCGCCTCCTCTGATTTAAGATGCTCATGCGTGAAGAAGTTCCGCCCCTCGTCGCCAACATCTACGAGGCGGAGAGGATTTTAAACTAATAAGAAACTGGGTCAGGGTTAAATGTATGTGAATGTGAGTCAAACGTCCTGCCTTGAAGCTGCTGGAGCTCGTCTCTTAAAGTCTGGTTGTCCTCCTCCAGCAGGCGAAAGTTGTACCGGAGCTCCTGCTTTTCTTGTCTCAGTGACGCCACCTCCTCCCTCAGCTCGAGCTCTTGGGTTTTGAACAGCTGCACGAAACACACCGTCATGGTTTTTATTTAGACTGACTCAAACCCAAACTCCTGACTGTGCGGTTTGCGACAGTTGACCGTACCTCCACTTGACTGTGCAGCCGCTGCAGCTGTTCATCTCTGAGGTGCTGCTTCTCCCTGAGTTGACCACAGCTCAGCTTCAGATCTTTGTGAAGGCTCTCCCACCTCTGCGCCTCTGCCTGGGCTGTGTTTAGTGCTTCCTGTGGGCAAAAGAATTACAATTTTCATTGAAAAAATATAAACTGTAGTGTTGATATTCTAATAAATCTGACATGATTGTGATGTTTGAGCTGTCAGATGAGGCTCTGTTGTTTCACCTGCAGCGTCTCAGCTCTGCTGAGCGCCTCACTTCTCTCCTGAGAGGCCTTCTGCAGCGAAACGAAGGCCTTTTCCTCATACATCTGCCTCTGCCTCTCCATCTGAAGCACCAGCTTCTTCACTCCATCTTTTGGAAATGTCTGTGGGAGCACAACAATGCAGAGTTAAACCTTTACATAAACACAGGGTGAGAAACTAACAAACAAACTGAGGAGAGCACATATAGACCTAAAGTGAAGTTCTCAGGAATGTCAGGGAGGGTAATGTTTGCAGAAACCATATAAAAACCATGTGATTAAACAAAATGCATCAGTGGTTTATCGTCTGCTTCTTACCTGCACACAGACTTGCAGCTGCGCCTCCAGAACTTTGATCTTGTTTCTCAGCAGGTCCTCACTGCAGCGAGACTGTGGGTTAGAGAGGAAATGAGTGACTGTCGGGCTCTAACCTGCAGATGGAAAGTTAATGCTTCTTGTGTCAACAGCTGAGACAAACAGCGGGCAGTTGAACCAGTTTATCTTCAAGAGACATCACAAAGAGCAGAAAAGGGTACACTGGAAACCTGCCAGGTGATAACACACCTCAGTGAGAAACAGCTTGAAATATTTTTTAAAAAGATGAGAAATTTCACTTAAACAGTAAAAATGACTGAGCTGTTGAAAACAAATGTAAAACTAATATCTACATCCAGTATTAGAACTAGATGAAAGCTGCTGAGGATGCACCTCAGTCAGACTGGTACGCCCTTCCTGTGTTAGAGCGACAGTTTGTGCTCGTCCTATAGATGAAAACGGAAGCAGGAAGCTTGAAAACCACAAGCTGCACAGGCCTTCCTGAGACACGAGCAGCTGCACGCTGATGGGTACACGCGTGTGACAACTTTCAGCACAAAACCAACCGAAGGAAGAGCAAAAGCCAGCAAGAACACGAGCGTAAACGATCAAAAATGCACGTTTATAGCTTTAAAACTGCAATCCTTAAAATCTATGAGTGCCTCTGATGTGTGTTAGCATCTTACCGTCCACAACACATCTGATGAGTTGATGAGGTTTGCTGTGATCTCCTTGAGGAGAGCCAGTTTCTTCTTCACTGCCTCCTCTCTCCACAGGGCTTCCTGAGAAGAAGAAGAAAGATCAGATGAGTGATTTCTGCAGCAGTGAAACGCAAACTGAGCACATTTAGCGTCACTTTGCATAAAATTATTGTAAAAAGCCCTGCTGAGTGTGATGTTTGATTCACCTGCAGGCAGTCAGATAATCTCTGGATGTCCTGTAAAGAGATGTAAAAGATTAAAAACAGGTCAAATCTGAAAAGGAAAAAGGACATTTGATTACAACGATAAAACAAACACGTTTTCCATCTAATGATTTCATGACCGGCAGCACGGTGGCTCAGCTGGTAGAGCTGTTGCCTCTCAGCGAGAAGGTCGCTGGATCAAATCCCGGCCGGGGACCTTTCTGGATAGTTTGCATGTTCTCTCCGTGCATGCATGAGTTTTCTCTGGGTACTCCTGTTTCCTCCCACAGACCAAAAGCATGCATGTTAGACTGACTGGTAACTAAACTGCCCCTAGATGTGAGTGAGTGAGTGAATGGTTGTTTGTCTCGTTTGTCTCTATGTGTCCCAGTGATGGACTGGAGACCTGTCCAGGGTGTCCCCCCCATATCCAACACGTGAAGGATGGATATGGGCACCAGTGACCCCCGTGATCCAAAACGGAAGAAGCGGCTAAAGATAATGGATGGATGGAGTTTGAGACCTTTAACCTTTGTCTCCACCTGAACTTTGTAAAGAAATACCAAAAAAGCAGCTGTTTGAAACTTACCGACTCTTTGACTGTGACGAGGCCGGACCTGTGAGGTGATGAAGAATATAAAACCCAAATCAGAGCCGCCTCGCATGATAAATCTGACATTTGATGATAACTCAGTCCTGAATGAAACTCACTCTGTCTGCGCGCTGACCTCTCGAAGTGTCTTTTTTTGGTGAGAATTTTCCGTCTGCACCGACAATGTTTGGTGAATCCTTTCCGTCTGAGTCATTGTTCTGACTATTGTCTTCTGAGCTACAAGAGAAAATAAAAGTTATCTTGATAGTAAATCAGACTTAATTATATTTAACAGCACAAAAAGTTGCATAATAGTGCTCCCATTCATACTGCTGTCTCTTTTCTGTGTGCTTTTTATCCAGAGCTGGCTGGATTCCATTGTCACTGCTGTGGAGGTAGACGTCTGTTTCTTTGCATGACTTTTCTCTTGCTTGGTCGGTTTTACCGGTTCTGACCATAAAGCAGCCTAAAGAAATAATAAAGAATAAATAGAAGAATTACTCACACCTGACCAGAAACAGCAGAAGAGGTCTAGATGATAAAGCATCATTTACCCATTTGCTGGTTCCTGGAGATTCAGTTATTCTGCTCTCTGCTGTTAAAATCATCTCTTGATGTCCATCAGCAGAGGGTGGATATTGTATATTTGTAAATAGTCTCTCAGACTTACTGAGATATTTATCTGAAAATATATCCAGAGTAGGGTTTCCTCTCCGAAAGCAGTTCTGACACTTGGGGCGACTTGGCTCTGGGCTGACTGATCTCCTCCTCAGAAACTCCAGCTGCCTTTTTTCCTTCAGTTTATTCTTGATCTGTCTCGTGTCCACGTCTCTCGTGGGGCTTCGACACGACGTCACGTTGTTGCGTCCTCTTAGGTCTTCCCGTCTCTCAGCTCTGCAATCCACTTTTTGGTCAAACTCTCTCTCTGGGAAGTATTTTCTTTTGAAGCTGGTCGAGGAGTCCATGGCAGCTCCTCGGGCTGTTCACGGAGCCTCAGCACTACAAAGACGACAACATTAGGAACAATTTGTGACTATTTCAGACAGCTGAACATGCAGATATTGATTAATTGTTTTGTGAGAAAGAAGCTGTTGAAAGAAGGCGCATGTTACAAAGAATAAAGTCTGAATGGTGCTACTCTCTCAGAAACCTTTGTTTACTCAAAGGAACATTGGTGATCTGTGCCGGGTGATGTGATCAGTCAGGCATAAAGAAAAGTAACAACGTGGATCTTAAACATTATCTGAGACTCAAGCAGAATGAATCATCTGCACGAGTTTACCTCTAAAAATATAACAAAAGTTGTGTTATATATTTGATTAGAAAGCTTCTTTAACATCCATTTCCACAGTGGTGGAGCCTCGTGCAGGCCCCGGCAAATGTTGATTACAGCCGTGCAGGTGCAAGAAAAATCAAAGACAAAATTCTGCTTAACACGCATAAATTCATGTTGATGGGGGCTTACCTTTTAAGCCATCCTATTCACTGGGGGGGAATCTTTCTGAGAGGAGAGGAGAGGAGAGGTCAACCATTTTCTTTCTCTTCTCTCACAGCGTCCGAGGTTTTCGTCTCTGTTTCACATGTAGCTGCTTCTGTAGAGCATAATTTTACAGGAAGTGAAGAGAACCACAGCGTCATATGTTCCTCTATCTCAGCAGCCACTCGCTCCACGCCGATGCCACACACGGGTGGGCCTCAAGATTACAGACTCGGACAGCTCCCCTCACTCCTGCACGCAGTCTGGGATTAAACACAGAGAAAAAGATCAGCTGTGTGTGTGTGAACTTTTCGTGACCGGCGCTACATTTCTCATTCAAATAAATTACTGAATGACCGTGATACACAGACGTTTGTCAAGAACTTTAACCTGACTTACATCTAATTTAAGTTTAAACACGTTTTCAAGACTATTTAGACAAAAACACTTGATTTTAGCATTATGTAAACTCTATACCCTTCATACACTTCCTCATGATCGCAGTCAATCAAAATTCAGCCTTTAGGCGCAGTTATTGGCAACCAAGTAGCGGTTTAAAAATACTTACAGGCAGATTTTTTTTTCTACCTAAATCTTATTGTTTTCAGCAGGTGTATTAATTTTATGGCGTTAGGATACATACTTTTTACCTTTGCTCAAAAAGGTAACAAAAATAATTGGTATTTTAAGTGAAGATTATTATTATCAAACTGTAAATCAGCTTTATATATAAATATATATCTATATAATAACATAGAAATATACATATAGCTTTATGTTAAAATTAAAAATAAGATGTATGCGGTCTTTGAAAACACATGTAAAATTGTAATTACTTTGTCTTCAGTTTACATCTCCTAAACATTTATTCCTAACCAAAACTCTAGTATGTGTGTCCAATAATATCTTTAGCATATATATTTAATTCTCAGATTCAAAGTCAAAGAGTCAAAGTTTATTTATTTGTCATACCACATGTGGTACATGTGGTGGAACGAAATTGTGTACACAGGGTCCCAAGTTGCATCAACATTTATTAGTGGGAACCAAGTGTTTCTTCTTTTGCACATTTTACTTATAATGTAGCTGAATGTTTACATTGCTGAAATCTTTGTAAGGAAGTGCACACACAATGCTTAACAAAACAATGTATTCTATTGCTATACCTGTAAATAGTTTTTAGTTTTAGTAGCTCTTACCTTGCTCCTATGTGGTTTTGTTTACAAAACTTTTGTTTATTTTTTCAGTATATCGGCACCTCATTATCCTAATATTTAATATAACCACTGTTGCCTGAACTGTACAATGTTCTTGCGTTAATTGTAGAATAAGCAGTCTGTTTGCTCACAGCGCCATCTAACGGTCACACTTTGGAAAAAATAAGCGAGATTCACCCTGAACTCTCGCGAGATTTCCTCCCGTGTCCGCCATCCTTGTGGCTTTGCAGAAGGGCACTGAGAGGCTGAAACAAGGGTGCCCGGCGAAGCAAGAACTTGGCACTTCAAATTTTTTCAACCATGCTGTCGAGATTTGTTATTCTCTCAGGTCTGTATTAAAGTAGCATTTACTCTGACCGTAATAACTCCATGTTTTTAGCATACATACAATTGGAAAGGTCGTTTAAAATGACTAAATCTGAAGGGTAAACTGAAGGCCGCACTCTGAATGAGACGTGCTAATGCTAGCTATCTGTTGTTGCTAATACAGTTTGCTAGATTTGAGGTTTGTTGCATTCATGCTTATGTCAACAGTAACAAGAAAATAAATTTAATATATCTGTTTTTCTATTGTCTGTTATTTTTGTTTGTGTTTAGCTTTAGTAAACTGAAACTAATGTAGCTAGCATTAGCTTTGCACAGCTAGTTATGTATTTAGGGTATTATCTAGCAGGAAGAGCCCAATTATATCTGTTCCTAATGTTTTTTTTATTATTTTTTTTTTACTTTAAAACTTGCTATTGTAATGCTCACCACGTCTTAATACTGTGATATTTTTCTGTCAGTCGGTAAAAGTCCTCTAAAATATCTTGGCTCAAGTGTATTTGGCAAATAATCTTAACAGGTTTTCAGGCATTTTGCCAAAATGTTTATTTAATTTAATGTGCACGAGTTCCAACTCTGCAAAGGTTAATGCATTTTTGCTAATATTTTGGAAATCAGTGTAGATAAGATAAAAATATATACTACATAACGTTCAACTTGTTTCTTCTGTTTTCAGCCAACTCCCTGAAAGGCTGTGGCCCCATTAGAGCTGGGTTTGTATCTTCAGTATTGCTTTTATTAATGCAGTGTTTCTCTAATAATGCAGGAGCTCGTATGTCTCCAGAAATTATTGCAGTACTCCTGTTTTTTGTCCCAACAAGTGCATCATGTTCACTTTATTTCACACAGATGTGTGTAGTATGCACTAGGAGATTGTGACTATGAAAACATCAGCTCAACACTTGTAGATCTTGACATCACAACAAGAAGTGACAAATCAGAATCTGAACTATCATGAATAAACATTGATGCAAATTTATGTACAGTAATTTTACAGTTAACACAACCATTTATTGGTTTAAAAAAACAAACAAGCGAATCAACTGGGAGCCCTAAATTTAAGCAAAGTACTAATGAATGTGGTGACTTATGGAGTTACAGCTGTAAATCCAGTGAGAGCTTTTTCTTTTGCATGCTAATCTGACTAAAACAAAATATTTGCCTGAAGTGTGGGAGTTAAGCTGAAATATATGCATAATTTTTCTTTATTATCTCCTGATAAAATCTAGAAAAGACTGCCTCAGTTAAAGAAAACATGAGCTAGAAGATCCCCATTTGATAAATTTTCAAGGAGACTAATCTGCTCATGTTGTCTACCTCAGCTTGGTCCATGGATCTCGCTCCCTGCATACATCATCCCAGAGTCTGGCCCCTCTTCCCCCTTTACCTGAGAAAGGAGGCAAAGTGCGACATGGCTTCATCCCAGAGGAGTTTTTTCAGCTGTTGTACCCCAAAACTGGAGTTACAGGTTAGTGGTGTTGCATCATTTGCAAGCTTTTTATATTTATTTATTAACCGTTATTTAACCAGGCAAATCCCACTGAGATCACAAATCTTTTTTTTGCAATGGAGGCCTAGACCTGAAAGCAGCCTAACATGCATGTTTTTGGACTGTGGGAGGAAACCGGTGTACAGTAGTCCCTCGTTTATTGCAGCGGTTACGTTCCAAACCCCCCGCAAGAAGTAAAAATCCTTGAAGTAGCAATTTTATATTTATTTTAGTTTTCATATATATTTTAAGGCGCTAGAATCCCTTCCCACACACTTGCAATTTTCTAAACTCAAATCGGTTGAGTCCAGTGGTCCTATAAAGAGATAAATAAAGTCTGGGTGTGCTCCAGAGAGTAGCCAGACATACGGTGGTGCCTCCCCCGCTTCAAAGTCCTCATGGGCTGGCTATCAGCTCTCTGATTCGCCGATAGGTCTGGAGGTCTGGTTCTGCTCCGGTTCTGGTCCTGTTCCCTATGGGTTCCATGTGGCTTTCTGCATCTGCTGGGTGTCGGAAGTCACTGAACAGTAATAAGCACCAAACTTTTTTAGATCAGATCAAAACTTTCCTTCTATGTATTTCAGCAGAAGGCAACTGGGCTTCTGTGTGGGGCACTGTTGGCTTCTGGGAAATGTAGTCCTTATGAGCGGGGGATACAGGCTTATTGAGCGAAAACTACAAAATGACAGTGCCTCTCTGAAGTATTTAATTTACTCGTTAACGTTTTACTGTACAGTATCCAGTACTGTCTCAATCACATGAGTAACATTAAAGTTGACAATCATGTATCCTGTACAATTTTTTTTCTCCTCTTGTTCAATCTTACTTTGAAAAACCGCAAAAGTCGAACCGCGAAGTAGCGAGGGACTAGTGTACCTGGATAAAATTCATGCAAACACGAGAACATTCAAACTCCCTACAGAAAGACCTCAGATCCCAACAGGACTTTGAACCCAGGACCTTCTTGCTGTGAGGCAACAGTAGCCTTTGTGCTGCCCTTCTTAGCTTCTAAATCTAAATCTTACTTTTAGAAACATAAACTGCAAAATGTTTTATAAAACACTCTTCACCCTTAAGACCCATTCAACAAGATGATGTTTGAACATCTCTTCATGTTTGCCTTACTGCAGGATATGACCCAGCTGATTACGTATAATTTTTCCTACAGGGCCCTACGTGTTTGGCACTGGTCTCATCACCTACATGCTTTCCAAGGAAATCTACGTGATCAACCATGAGACGATTTCTGCTATCTGCATAGGCGCTGTCATAGTTTATGCTGTCAAGAAATTTGGTCCAAGTGTTGCAGCTTTTGCTGACAAACTGAATGAGGTAAGCTGAAATGGCTGTTTTCAATGCAGAACACAGACTACTGATAATTTATAGATTAATCTGCATGCACAATATGTTGGGATCACAAACTTGACACTTGATTCCTTGCCCTTAAAGTGGAGGAGGTGAAGTGACAAACATTCAACAAAACGTGACATTGCTTGAAGTTATTTCAAACGGTCATCCATTAAATATGACATGTACGTTAGCTGATGCTAATATTGTTGCAGCCTCCTAATGTTCATCAATATTTCAGTCAGATTAGCATTAATGACGTTTATTAAATCAATTCACAAATCACTTGAAGGCCTCACAATGTCAAAAAAAAAAGAAGCAAATCTTACACAAATGTACTCAGAATGGACATTCTTTAAGAGCCTTTTTGTGACATGAAGACCAAAGAAAACACGGCTTTATCAGTTGGTATTCATTCTTTTTACGGTTTGTTCAAATGTCTTTTTTTGCCTAGAGACTGGCAACGTACCCAGATATAACAGCAGCCCTCTTTTTACCGCTGAGTCTTAGCTTAAGATGCGTGTCCAAATGGCCATAAAAACATTTAAGTATGTGTGACATATGAGCAAAAAAAAAAAAGGTTTTGGGGCCACTTCTCCCTGCAGTGTGAATGTAGCCTATTTGGCAACAACAGTGTGTAATTACAGAAACTATTATTGCTTTCAGACATTAGATCCTGGTTCTTTTTCGTACAAGCTGTGCAATTGTGTCTTTGATCTGCATTTCCCTCTCAGGAGAAAATGGCCCAAATCCAGGAGATGAAAGATCGCTCCATGTCTAGTCTGACTGAAGCCATTGAGGAGGAGAAAAAGGAGCAGTGGCGAGTAGAGGGAAGATGGATGCTCTTTGATGCTAAGAGGGTAAGCGGCACTGACTTCATTATTGTTCTTTGTCATATCAGAAATCCTAACGTTTTGCAGCTGGCACCATTACTCCCTCTGCTGGCAACAAGTAGGAACTGCAAGACCCAGATTACCATAAAAATGGCAAGATAAATGGAAATAAGTAAACGCATTGAAAAGGAGTTAAAAAAAAGGACGTTTAAATTACTAGTCATCATATAGGTAATCACTTTACAGGCTATTTAGATCCAAGAAGTGTTTTTTGGGATTGAGAAAAGGCTTAAATTGAACATAATAAATTGGGTTACAGTACGGTAAAAATAAATAAATAACATTAAATAGGGTTAAAAATAACCCTACATTGTTCTGATGTGTGATGGATTATGTTTCTTCACTACACCTGTACAGTGTGTTGGAAGAACTTTTCAATTCTTTTCTGGATTTATGTTGTAACGGTCAATAATTTTAATGTATTTTTGCGTCTTAAGTCGTCTTCTCATTGGTGAAAGTGCCTCTCTTGACTCTCGTTGAACATTTTGGTGCGTGCGTTATCTGAACTCTTGCTGCATATTTAAGATTTTTCTCCTGCTTGCCATGTCAGAACAATGTCGCAATGCTGCTGGAGACCAACTACAGGGAGAGGCTACACATGGTGACCAATGAAATAAAGAGGCGCCTGGACTATCAGCTCGCCCTTCAGCACCTCAACCACCGGCTGGAACAGGAGCACATGGTCAACTGGTTGGAGAAGAGCGTCATCGGCAGCATCACTCCTCAGCAGGTTGGCAACTATCTTGTTGTTATTAAAAGCCTGAAGCCATCTCACAGCCTAAAGCTTTGCTGATGAGGAAACAAAAAAAAAAACCATCTGTTAAGGCCAGAACGTTATTATGTGCTGTAAAGATAAGTGCCTTTTATGATCAAGCTGCTTTACGATTTATTTACTGTATTGGCTGGGATACAAGATAAGTGTGATTGAAATATAATCTAATGCAGCCTCATATTGTAGGACTTCCAGACTTCTCAAGTTGTTTTTAACAACTTTTGTGGCTTTTATGATTTTTGAAGTGAAACTTGCAAATGGCTTGAAAGGACGACAAATACATTTAGTCACAAACTAGAGCTGATTGAGAAGGGTATATTTAGTTCTTTTATCAAGAATATTCTTTTAATTGTATTAAAAACATATATCCAAAGTATTTAAATACCCTCTGAAGTATTTTTTCAAATGCATAGAAATAGAATAAAATTTACAAAAAGAAAATCTTTAAATTTGTTGAATATAACCCCGGATGAACGAGTTTTAATAATTAAAAATATTTTTAATGAAAACTAGGCCAGAATTTCACAGCATTAAAACACAAAGTAAAGCCACAAATGCTCCAATATGAATCAGTAGTATGTAGTCGCCAGGTCCAGGTGTGTTTGAAAGTTTGCTGGTCTGCAGCGTGCAGGTGTGCATTAACTCAATGCCAAGGAGGCGAGAGCTTCATTGTTGGTCTTACAGAATAATTTACTGCTCAAAGTGGATCTTAGAAGGCTAAGATCCGAATGCAAAGCAGCAAATTCGTTGCAACCCAGCACACACACTCAAGCACGGAGGAGGAAGCTTGGTGATTTTGGTGACTGGAACCCTGCAGCACCCCGACTCGGGCTCAATTTACGCGACGCTGTTTAAAAATTGGAACTGTTCTGCTGTGTTTCGGCCGCTTGTTCACACGACAGCACTCGGATACTCTGACGCTGAAACTTAATTTGTAGCATCAGAGGGGAAGTTGTTCAAAACCCCTGGCGTTGTTTCTCAGGAAACCCCAATTTACCTGAAGGCAAGGTGTTTGCACATCTGCACTATGATTACAGTCAGTACTCTACATTTTACAGTGATAACATAATATAGGAATATGTATAAAATAGTTTTGCGCAGTCTTTATATTAATGCATGGTCTAAATTTAACAAAAACCCCAGTAATGGTCTTATGTTTTCTGTCTTGCGTTTTTGTTCTTTCAGGAGAAGGAGAGCATCGCCAAGTGCATCGCAGACCTGAAGGCGCTGGCTAAGACCACGCAGGCCAAAGCTACAGTCTGAACCACCATGGCCCTAAAGAAAAGCCCTCAAATCCTCGACTCATAGTTCCAAGACGAGACGTCGCCTTTCTTTACAGAAAAAAACTATTTCTCTTTAATGAAGGTCTCTGTCAACATTATGGGTGTGTACAGTATTTACACGTCAGCAGATGGTAAAATAAATGGTTCTCTTATCCAACGCTGCCTGCTTGGTTTTATTATTCTAACTTTTAGTATTTATTACAATCCTTGACGTACTGTCTGCGACGGCACCATTTCACATTATTATACAAAATGTTTCAGCTACATACCTGCATAAACACTTGAGTGAAGCACTTGAGACCTTTGATCGCTCTGAAGTAAGCTTTATAAAGCCCAAATTACCCTTTGGAATCATAACGGTCCAGCGTTTTGCTTCCTTTAACTACCTCAGATGACGAATCAGGCCACCCCCCTCCATTCGTCACTCCTTTCAGAACATTGCACTTTGATCTTTGAGATTTCAGACACGGATATTTGTCAAGCCGTGGAGGAGCAGAGGCTTTCTGACAAGACTTGAGAGAAATATATTTTGGAATAAGAGAACGATGACGCCGGATCAGAGCTGATCCTCGGAGGTAAACAAGATGATGGTGTGACTGGGTGTCATAATGGAAGGAGATCAAATAAATCTTTATTGGTGGCAGGATTGCTTCCTGTTCTGAGATGGAAAATGTGTTTGCTTTTTGCAGAAAGTTTTTTCTTTTTGTTGTTGCTTGGATCACTGGTCTCACATCCTGCGTTCAGTCCAGGAGGTACGTGACAGCTTTCAACTCCAAAACTCAATTTGCTCAACTAAGCAATTCCACACATTAGGATTAAATATTAAATGCTGAGCCCGCTCATGCTGGTTTGTGAAGACGTACAATAAATCTTTCCTAATAGTTTGATAATAATTGAACCTTTTTGGTCATTTAAACCCTGAATTTATTACATCTGTAACTGATTAACCGGGCCTCAGCCAGCCAGTTGTCTTCAGTTTTAATTTAATTTTCTCGCTCTACCTCTTGTGCTGTAAAACAATTCAAGTCAAAAGCATCGTTGAGTAGCAGCACCACATAAACAACAGATTTAATGCTCTAATCACATTTTTGAAGAATTAAAAATAGATTTTATGTTCTCTTTAGATTTAAAACTTGTGCAGATGTGCTGTTGACTTAAATGAGCTAAAATGCAGGAGCCAAAACCATAAAGGGGTCCTCAGTCTTGGCCTGTGGTTCTCAACTGGTCCGGCTTGGGAACCCACTATCACCCCAGAATGACGAGTTGAAACGCAGTGTGAGGAGACTTGAATTTCTCTAATTATGAACTATAAAAGATGGTGCAGTTTGAACCTAAGACAGTAAAATATAACATCACTGCATGCCAACATAAATAAAAAATAAGTAATTATAACCCAAAATGAACAGCAAGTGGTGACGCCCGAAAGGGAAATATTTCCTTCTATGCTACTTTGCTAACTAGCTTTTTTCTAGACTCTAGTGCCTACAAATGGGAAATAAAAAGGTCCAACTACTCAGAAGTTTCAAAAGGACTGAAAATATGTACCTTTAGTTGAGTTATCCACTGAGTATATAACAAGCAATGTCTTATTAAAGTTATTGTTAATTAACATTAATCAGAAGACTGACGTAACAATCAGAACATTGATTTTCTTCTTAATATTGTTCTGTCCAGTTCAAGGCCTGCGACCCACCAGAAAACAATCACCGTTAGAGCCTCAGTTTAAAACTAATCTCGTCAATAAAACTGCAATAACTAAGGCACAAAACAACAATCGAGATCCTCAATTTAACATAAAACAGCATTAAATCAAATATTGAGTGAGATAAACGAGATACTGACACGGAAGCTCAAAAAGATTTAAAATTGCTACAACATTAAAAGGATAAAAGAAAAGGATTAAATAAAAACAGGAGTGTAAAATGAGTCAGAAGCATGTTTAACTTACACTAACCACAAAATAAAAGCCACAAAGAGACTTTACACATGTCACGTGTGTGAGTCCGTCTTCACCTGATCGATGTCTTACAGGTTGGAGCATCTTCCAAGTGATTTCCACCCATTAAAAGTAAAAAACACTTCAGGATGTTTGGAAACACAGGTCCCTTCTCTTACTCCCGGTTAGTATGTTCAGTTAAATGTCATTTCTTTCGTTGAAGGTAAATTTCTCTTTTTACAGTTAATCGTTTACACACATGGTTTTATGATCTGATTAATGCTCATCCTGTTTTACAGTTACCTTATTGTTGTCTATCTTCAGAGGTTTCCCACAGGAAGACTTCCCTCAACAGAGACGGCCTTTCCAGCAGGATGAGCCCCAAGGTTCACCGCTGCAGAGAAACGGCATGTCGAGACCAAGTGGAAGATCCATATACAGTACGTCTGTTTTTTTTAGTAAGGAGTAATTTTGTGGAGAACAAAATCCATCCAGGCTTTGGTTGTTGTTTCTTTTCATCTCAGTGCAGAGAAAGGAATACTCAGAGGTGCTCAACAAACAACCAGACAGCTTTCAAGTCAGAGTGGAGGTAGGAAGTCTCTTTCTGCTAGAAGATGAACTTGTTCCTAACTGCGCAGCCTTCAGCTCTCCATCCTCATCCCTTCTCCCCTCAGCATCTGTTCACCTGTGAGCTGGACGGCCAGGAGGTGAGGACAGCAGACAACTGCGTGGCCAAACTTGTACAACTGGACGCCAAAGGTCGTCTGTGGCCTCAGGATATGATCATGGAGCTCAGAGGACCGTACCTTCTGCTCTCTGACATCGAGACCAAGGTCAGTCATTTATAAAGGAGTCATGATCTCCCAAAGCCGAAGCAGCGATAATATTTTTACTAGGGATGCACGATATTGGATTTTTGGCCGATATCCGATATGTTAAAACTTAATTGGCCAATAACGGATACCGATGCCAATGTTTTTTTTTTATTAGACCTACTTACAGAGACTACATACAGTATCTTTCTCTGCTGTGGAATTAAACTACAGCATTATTCTGCATGGTCTTTGTCAATGTGGCCTGCTACCAAATGCAGATGCCAAAAAGGGGGCTGAAAATGATGTAACACTTCAACTTGGATTATGTTTAATGTCAAATGTTTTCGTGACATTTACTCACACAATGACAACACTCGAACAGGGTAAATTTGTGAATTTGCACAAATCTAAACTCAACGGCGCGCACGATGTCCTAACATATTGCTAGCACTGCAAGCGTCCTTATCACTGGGTTGTCATACAAAAACAGCTCCTTTTACATAAATATG